GGCAAGGGGCTGGGGCCCATTGCACTGCTAAGTATTGGCCCAGCCGGCTTCAGAGACCCAGACCGAGCGTGGTTTCTTGTGAATTAACCTAGAATTGATGCAAGTCAGCCGGGACTGGGTTGTGTCCCTTTGCAAGAGCATCCGAGGGCAGCATGCTGCCCAGGCTAGCCTCGCCTCGCCTCAGCATCACAGGGCTTATTCTGTGGGGAGGCACACGTGGAGTGCTGGGTTCACAGAGCTCTTGAATCGCATGGCTGCCATACGATTCCAGCACAGAGACAAAACCACACAAATAAACCGAGCTGGGAGTCCTCATGTTTAAGGTTGCTGCATGTAATTCACTGCTGTGGAGACTGCAGCCCAAGAAACTAGTGCCCCGGTGAGCTTACTGCTTAGGTCTTGTAATGCGTAACAAGCAGGGTCACCTAAGTTACCCCAAGCCAAACATTTCTTATTTTAAAAAACAGCAAGAAATTACCTGTTGCCACTGGGGAGAGCCTTAGGAGTTCCTAATCTCCCCTTCCCTCTCTTTCTTCTCAGATAAGGATTTCAGAGGCACAACTCCACCAGCTCTTTATGTTGCCTGCGTGAGTTTCCTTCCTGCTTTGACAGGTGCTACTTTCCCATCTCCACTCAAGCCAGTTGCTTACTGGCTGCTGGGAAGTATCAATTAATCAAGCTTTTATCCTTAAGGGGTATGGAGATAGTTCACAAACCAAATATGGCTTGATAGTTTGTAGATCTGCATTTCCTCCTTGCCTAGTCGTTCCTGTGTATTCTGCTGTAGTAAAAGTTATGAAACTCAGAGGTACCTGGCTTTCTGTGCCTGTTGCAAAGACTTCCGGCAGCGTAATCAAGAAACTAGTCACACACATGTGACTGTAGAAAAGTACCTCAGCAGGTAAATTAACTCATCAAATGTTAACAATCTAAAATAACATGTGTGTCACATAGGCTGTGATTGCTTGTAGCGGTTAAGCTGCAGAAGGTTCAGCCAGTTGGTTCTGAGGGTTTTGAGTTAGTTTGGGTTGAGTCCCCTATAATCTTTGTGTGCTATGCAAGATATGTCCACTTTGAAATGCGCCAAGATTGTACCTATAGTTTCTGTGCAGCATGTGTTTAGCAGTGTGCTCATGACCTGGTTTATTTTATAAATGGTTAGTAAAATGTCAGGAGCCTAGCATCCAGTTTTCTAGTTGGCCACTTATTTGTAAAAACGAGTTTAATCAGAGTGGTCACAAGAGACACAATCATTGTGTAATTACTGCCAGTAATTTGATGTGAGACAGCATAGCACCATGTTAGCCAATGTCTTAGTTCTTCCTCAGCAGGCTTCACCAAACAGATTTTGTAATAATAGTTTCCTGCATCAATAGTTCTTCTTGGGTGTGAAACCTTTTATCTCGTATTACTTCTGCCCCCTCCTGATTTCAAACAGATTTTGAAGGAGCCTTACAGCTCTGGGATAAAAGGAACATGATGCTGCTTCATGGTTTGAGCTGTTTGACTTGTGAGTGTAACTTGAGGGCTAACAGCCTCAGTAAATCTCAGCTCTAGATGGGAGAAAATGCTGATGGTTGGCAGCTAAGGCAGAGAGCCCTGAGAGGATGGGGCTGGTCGGTGTGTGGGAAGTGGTGTTGGGCTACAGCTCTGGGATGCTCTGGTGGGTACCATGCCTTGATTTACATGTCCAGGATAAAGGGCAGCTGGTAAATTACTTAAAAATAATTATGCACTGTGTTAACACTTCCCAGGAAGGGCTGAACTAAACACTGCTGTGGAGACCATTAAACTATTGTTATTTTTAATCAGGTCCCTCAGAGAAAACAATAGTGCTTCTCTTTGGTAAGGGCCTGTTCTGTGTTCTTGGGAATGTAAAGTACTAAATAAAAGTTTTATTACATATCTATCAATACTTCACTATGCTCCCAAGAATTGCAGTGGTTTTTCTTTTATGTTCTACTTTTTGGATATTCCCAAGGTTACTTTGCATAAATAAAGCACTTCTTAATTGAAGCGATACACCTGTATCTGCATAGCAGAGTCCTTCACTGTTTTGGGGCTTCTGATGGGTGTTGATGGTAGTTCTGAAGCAAAAGTAAACCAAGTGTAAGTAAATCACGGCATTATTTGGTTTTGATTATGCAAAGTTGATCAGAATTGTCAATCTGTCATCCCATAAAGCCCAGAAGACAAATAGCCTTTTGGGTGTTCAGTGGAAACTGGGATTAAACCTCAGCAGAACTTTGTTGAGTGTATCCATGTTGGATCAGAGGAAGCAGGGAAGAAGCTATCTCAAAACAGGATTAAGGGATTGCCAGGCAGAATTATTTCCAAACTGAGATTTTTATCTGATTATGGGTTTTCATGCTCTACAAAACACCTTTTTGGTCCTGTTACTGTTGCATTTTTCCAAGAAAGTGTTTCGCTTTCTTGACAGTCACTGTTCATGTGTCTTCACACATGAAATTAAGATGGGGTTTTGGTTATGAAAGCAGATGAAAGATGGTGCCAGCAGTACCCATTTCACTGTTTTCTGAACTACCCATGTGACAAGTAACACAGAACAATAATACATACCTGGTTTTGCTACGAAGAGCTTTTGGAATACTGAAAGGATCTAGAAATTTTATATTAGTGTTGTTTAAGAAAATTTTTAATGAATTTCTACAAAAGAAAGTCTGGTAATTTTAAACAAGCTAAACCAGTTAGATGTGTGGTTTCTGATTCTGACCCC